TTGGGCTCACACGGTCAAATGTCAAAGTCAGCAGCAGCAGCAGCACCCACCCGCACCACTCTTCTGTTGTGAAAGCGTGTGTTTCACCACCATGGGTCACCCTCACCATCTGCGCGTGAGTAATCTGCTGATTCATTTGTGACCTCCAAAACTTGCAAATCTGGTTGTTCATGTACCGTTGTACTGAATTGGGCTACTTTTACGAGAAAAATCAAGAGAAAGCTTGTTCTTTTTTAAACAGATCCTGGAGTGGTGTGGGTCTATTGGACTCTCTGTGATGCTCAGGTAAAGATGCACAAAACCAGCTAGGCAGAGCGTAAAGGTGGGCCAAATCCTGTTTTGACACTTTTGCACACATGCACACACTTTGCCTGTTTGTCATACCAAGCGGGTAAACACATAGATTGCTTCCTGTATCTCTCAGGGAAAGGTACTGAGATGCACACCTGGCTACTACAATGCTAAAGTACAAATTTACAGTGGAAAAATAAGGAATGGTTAGTGGGACCCTTAAATAAGCCTTATCATTTGTGTTATCAGGAAAAGACTAAATTAGCTTGACCGCTCCCCCAAAAGCCCGTTACTCTTAGCAGATGCCCCAGGGTCAAGTTCAGCATATGCCCCAACCCCACCTTGGGAGGTCAGTCTGTTTTCCCCACAGGACTATTCCTAGGTCCCACCGCCATCTGCACACTGTGGACAGCAGGTGGCGCTACCTTCCCACGGACACAGCCGTGCCCGGTCCCCAGCCTGCTAACTGCTTCTGCTTCCTGGACAGGTAAACTCAGGGTCTCCTAAGCCTTCCCTCCTCCTTCCCGGGCCCCCAACAATGAGCTCCCACCCAGAGGCAGAAATCACAGCGAAGAGAACCCTGGAGGTGAACAGGGACCTGGGTCTTCCCGTCCGCAAGGTCACCCCACCGAGCCTCTCTGGGTGGGTGGCTGTCCCCTTTATCCTGCCGTTCCGCTGAAGGCAGCAGCTTTGGTGGTACAAGGAGGCCCTGCCCGGGTCAGCCAGGGCTACCTGCCTCGCCAAGACCCACCAACGCCTTGTGTTGGCCGCCGCGGGCTTTGGGGGCATCTCCATCTTCCACGTGGCCGTGACAGCGATGCTACCAGTCAGTCAGGGGCCCCAGGGGCCCAGCATGTCACCCTCCTCAGACCAGAGCCTGGCTGCCGAAGCCCTGCCCTGTGGCACAACTGCTGTAGACATGCACCAGGCCCGCAGTGCTTGCTGCCCTGGCAGCTCAGCCTCTCCGGTGTCCCAGGCTAACAGCTTAGGCTGGGCAGAGGTAACCGCCATGTGCGCAGGTTGGCACCAGGCCTGGCCAGCATCTGCTCACCAGGCGGCCCTGGCCTCTGCGGCATCTTCTCTCTGGGGCGTCCATGCAGCCCATGTGTCCTGGTGCTGGAGTGGCCAGAGAGACCAGTGTCCTTGTGTCTGGCCACCTGGGCACCGTGGGAGCCCGTGACACCCAGGGTGTCAGCCTGCTCGTGTGCAGCTGCGGGGCACGGAGTGGGCCGCACGGCCTCCTCTGTCCTGCTGCTTCACAAAGATTAGATTTTACCCAACGTCAGGCCTGGGCACATCTAGAACCATCATTGGGGGGTCCAGGGTGCAGCTCAGCGGTGGGGCCCATGCCAGGCATGAGGCCCTGGTCCCCATCCCCGCACCAAGGAGGAGGCACCACAGTCACCCCCAGGCCTGTCCTGCCTGGACATGGTGGCCCCAATGTCCCAGATGCAGCCACATGCTCAGGTTCAGGGGTTCCTGGGCGCAGCCCTCAGGAGCTGCAGAAGGAAGGCTGTCTACCCAGCACGGCCACACACCGCCCGCAGGGCCTCCCTCTCCTGCCGCGTTCACTTGGAGGCTTGTGCTCCCCTGGGCCGGGGGCCAGGGCAGGAACGGGAATCACAGTCCAGGCCATGAGGAAAGTGACCGCCGGTGACTGACTCGGGGGCGAGGGGCGGGCTTCCCCTCCGGCTCAGGTCCAGAGCCAAGTTAGAGAGCCCCTGCTGCCCTGCCAAATGCCACCTCCCCGAGCCTCAGCAGACCAGGCCCCGTGCTTCAGTGGCCAGGGACCGGGCTTTGAGGCCAGAAAGTCCTGGGGCTGAGCCCTCCCCTCCTCCTCCCGGTTCCAGGCCAGTACAGACCACTCACCCTTCGGGGCTCGGCTTGCATTACGGGCTGCCCCCAGGGAAGCGAAAGCACTACACGTCCCGAAGGAGGCCGCTGAGGGCCCCCGGCCCAGGTCCTTCCCTGCCACCGGGACTGCTACAGTCACACCTCGGGCGGGCAGCAGAGGGCAGCAGAGGCCGGGCAAGCGCCCTCACCCCGCGAGGACACGGGGACACCGGGGCGGCTGTGAGTTGCAGAGAGGCCCCGCCTCCAAGGCCCCGCCGGAGACCCTGCACCTCTGACAGGGCGACCCCGGCCCCCGCCCCCTCCCGCGGCCGGCAGTCTGTCTCTGTGGGAGCAGGGCCCAGAGGACCCCTCTGTTAGAACTCCACCTGCTGGGCCTGGGAGTGGGCAGGGGTCCTTCTTCCTGGGAAGAAATGGATGCTTGGATTACTGAGCACAGCACCGCTCACGCCACAGGATTGGGGTGTGAGGGGCCTGCCGGCCGTCTTCTGGGTGCCCTGGCACCAGGTGACCCCTCGCTCCTTACCCACCACCCGCCAGGCCCACGGGGACAGCGAGGAGGAAACCACGGCTGCCTGGGGGTGGTGACGTGGCTTGCTAGAGGCAGGTGGTGGCAGGCCAGGGACCCCAGCTCCATCTTCCAGGGCCTCCCTCCTGCTGGAGACTGGGGGGGGCACCAGCCCTCCCCGCTGACCTCAACCTCCAGCCCAAAGAGGAAAAGAAATAGCAGGGCAGAGGCAGCGCGGGCCTTCACAACGCAGACCCTCACGGGCACCTCCCAGCTGCTCGCGGTGTGCCGGAAAGACCAGGCTGGGCGTGGTGAGCTCCAGGCCTTCCATCCTCCGGGGCCGGGAGCGGAGGCCGCGCCGCTTTGCAGTGGGGCAAGTCTCTGGAGCTCACCGGCCCAGCGAGAGGCTCGGGCCCAGCAGGAGCCCGAGGGCGTGGAAGTCTGTGTTCTTGTCACTTCTCTCCCAAGGCTTTTGGCTGGGGGAGAGGGGCACATGCACTTGGGACGACCGGACCTCAGTGCCCCAGACAGACTCCCCAGGTGTGGGTGGGGACCTGAAGCTCCTCCATCCAGGGGAAGCAGGCCTCTACTCGCTTACACGCGCAGGTCATAGCGGCCCTCGCTTGTGCCCTGCACAGCGGGGCTGCTTCTGCACAAAGAACAGCGGCAGGAGCTTCACCCGGCAGGGCAGGCGGCCCCTGGGCAAGCCCTGGCCCAGCTGCGCCCTGGGGAGGCCACAGCCAAGCGGGAGACCTGAAACTCGCATGCTGGGTGCAGAGGCAATTTCACTCGGGGACTCGGGTCCAGGGTACGGCTCAGAGACGGGGTCGCCCGGAGCCTGGAAAGTAGGACTTTTCCATCTCACCCTCAGGCGCCGGATCTGGCCTAGAGACAGAGGCAGGCCCAGCCCCCCGGGACCCAAGGACAGTTTTCCCGCCCGAGCCCCTCGGGGTGTGTGCCACGCAGCCACCGACCCTGGCGCAGGAGAGCTGGAGATGCTGCTGCAACGAAAACGGTCGCCCCGGAGGTGACAGGAAGTGGGGTCCCCAGCGCCCGGGACTCTGGCCCAGGGGCGCCCTGGGACACAGCGGGAGGCGCACTGCGGCCAGGGGGAGTGGGGCCGGAGACGCAGTCAAAGCCCTGGGAGCTACCAGAGTGCCAGCCCCACTTCCCGGGAGTCTTACGCGCACAGGGTCTGCCCGAGGCGGGCGCCCTGCCTGCGAGGCTTGGGGCACCCAGCGAACAAGCGCAGCAACCCACGCCCTGCACCCCACGCTCAGACCTGCCCCGAGCCGCGCGGAGCCAGGCGAGTGCCGGCGCCCCTGCCCTTCCCCGAGAGGTCGTCCCGGGCCTTTTCCCATCCACTTTATCTCTGTTTTATAGACAGCTGCTTGGGACATTAATTGCCCGAGTGAGTTTATTGATAATTTTGATGTAACAGAGCACCGGAGAAATGACCCCCACGTCGACAACGTCAGATCTGAGAAGAAACAGGTTCCGAGACCCGGACCCCACAGCGCAGACACTGCGGTGGGTCACGCGACAATGACTTATTGTGTTTGTTTTCCCAGGTAGCCATAGGAATCGAGAGAGTGGTCAGCAGAAGACACAACTTATTCGTTTTTCCCCAGAGAGGGAAAAAATATGATTTAGGAGGGAAATGTTGCCCGATTGGAAATTTGCCTGTAACCTTGCCCTACCCACGGCAGCCCTTTCCTCGCTCAAATTTAACTCAATTTTCGTTTGGGAAAACCAAGTATAAGGCACCATCAAACAAAACAAAATAAAAAACAAAACCCTGAAGTTGTTTCGTGATTCATAACTAGAATATGGGACCAGTAATGGCTAAAGCTCCAAGTAACATTCTCACCGGTCTAGGGATGGTGAAAAATTATATCAATGTCTATCACATAGATACATATACATACATTTACATATATCACATGCATATGTGATATATATGTGTGTGTGTGTGTGTGTGTATGACCTGCTTGGGTTTTCCCCAGGGGATAGAGGACCACAGTTTTTCTTTAAACATTTGATTATTTCTTTTTAACGAGAAATGACATTTAGAGGGGCAGAGGGCTCTTCTTAAAAAACAGAAGCCAAGAAAAACAGTTACTCTTGTCCAGATTTTACTTCGATGTGAAATGAAGAGGGGAAATAGGAGGATCAGCCAAAACAAGAAAAACGGAAAAAGAAAAAAGTACTCAGAGCGGCCCACACTCCGAAGGTTTAAAAAACCCAGAGGGCTGGAGCGTCCGAGGGGCCCCAGAAGCGTTCCACAGCCCCAGCCCCAGCGCCATGCCCACCGACTTTATTTCCCGCTGATACAATTTTAAAGGCCATGTACAAATGTTACACATTTTTATTTTTCTTCTTTTCTTAGGAAAAAATACACAAAAGGCAAAACATCCTCAAATTGTCATTTTATACAGTGCAGAAGGAAACTGAAAATACGTGTCACAAATGCTGCACCCCAACAGCCAAAATACTAAAAAAAGGGGGGTAAGTCCTTCATATTATATATATATATATTTATATAAAACATATGGAAATTTGTTTTTACATGGTTCGGTCTTTGTTTCAAATTTACAATGGATATCGAAAAAAAAAACTCTACACGGCAAATATTGCCAACAAAGTTACACCATTAATACTGATAAACGGAGGAGCCTGTGCGGTGTTTTGATTATTAGGGAAAGAAAGGGGAATAAATACCAGGAAGAGCCTTGCTAGAGTCTTAAAAGTGCCTTAACCTTTCTGCGTCACCGCAATGCTGAGTTCCAGGTCCCGGGGCTCCCGGCCCTGCCTCCTCGGACCAGAAAGTTTACAGTAGAGGTTGGGAGAGAGAAAAACACCCACCAAGAAGGTAAAACTGAAAGTCAAAGCGGAGTGAGAGGAGAGGAAGGTGGCAGGGACGGCAGCGGCCTGGACCCCGCGCTTGCGGGCTTCTTGGCTCCTTCTCTTTTCTTCTCAAGAGGAACAGTGGCTTCGAAACGAAACGCAGGTTCTACGCGCAAAGATCCACCTGGCTTGCGGAGGAGGCGCGGAGGGAAAGCGCCGGGCCTGGTCCCTTCCCCTCCTCGCAAAAGACGGCTCTACAGGGAGGCTTGTGCATTCCAAGACATTCTTTCAAAAAAGTTAAAAATAAAAAGATAAATACTCAACCACAAAATAGAAGTATTTGATAATGATTGGTCTCGCTGGTTCGCCTTCCGGGTCAAAACCTCCCTCCACTCTGCCACGGGTGCGGGAGGGCTCTCAGCAGAGCTCTGGTTTGGAGGTGGCAGGCTGTCCCCACCCTCGCCCTGGCGGGCGACCGAGCCGGCCTCAACAGGGGAACGCAGACCTCCTCCCCACCGCTGCGGGGCCATCGGCCCCACCACCACCGCTTAATCTGCGAGGGAAGGGGAAGGAGCTGCTATCGCCGCCGGGGCGCTCAGTCTTTGCCCTGGGGAGTTCTTTCCAAACAATCCGGCTGAGGAGGGGCCGACCCCTTTTCTTCTGCTGGAGATTATACCTCGAGAATAAAGCAGTTTCTGGCCTGGGCTCCGAGTCCCTGGGCCGGCCGGCCAGTGCCGGGAGGGCCCCACGGCCCGTCCTCACATCACGCAGGGCTTGATGTCCTGGTAGGTGACCTGCTGGTGGTAGTAGGAGCCCCCGCCGGCCGAGTGCATGGACGAGGACGCCATGGCGTTGAAGGAGAAGACAAATTCCTTTCGGTCACACATGCTGGGCGACTGCGAGTGATACCGTGGAATGCCTGCAAGGCGAGGCGACACAGGGGTGGGGAGACAGGCGTTAGCGTCCGGGGGGCCAGAGTGCACCGCAGAGAAGCGGGGCTGCCCTCGGGCCCAGGAGGCTCAGCCCGGCTCGGGCGCACAGCCACACAGCCGCCCCTCCGCAGGCCGCCCTCGGCACTGCAACTGCGATTGTCCCGAGGTTGTCCCTGGCCCTCGGCGAGGCCGGGAGGCACCTGAGAGGTTCCTGGGCTGTGCGCCCCGGGGAGCCATCCCAGAACCAGACAGCTCCCTCGCCCAGGCCTCTCCCACCTCGGGCCGACGTTCCCGAAGCCGAGGGGGACCAGGAAAGGGAGGCCGAGCTCGCCGCCGACGCCTGCACTTCCCCCGGCTGCCACCTCCAGGACAGGACTCCAGCAGGGTGGGACGAGCGGTCCCAGCCACGCCAGCGAGCGGCTTCAGGGCCCTCAGCAGAGGAGAGAAGCGGCTCTCTGGAAGGAGAGACCCTTGGGGAACATCTGCCGGACCAGCAGGAGCTGGCGCTCTGAACAGCCACGGCAGGGCAGGCCCCTCGGAGAGGCGGCCCACCGGCCTCCAGGCCAGCTCCTGCCTCCCAAGGCTACAGCAGGCGGCTGACCCAGGGCCCAGCCAGCCCCTCGCTGCTCCTCCCAGGGCTAGGCCCAGAAGGCAGCGGGCCTCCTTGTGGGATGGGGGGATGGGAACCGAGCTGGCTCCAAATCCGCTTCCTGGGGGACTTGAAAGCCTGGGTCCTGAGAAACAAGTCCTGAGGCCTGCCACTGTGACCCTCGCTGACCTGGCCACCACACTGCCCTGCCTGTCCCCACACAGTGCCCGGTCGCAGCCAGGCCTGGCTCCCTGAAAGGCTGGGGCCAGGTGGCTTTGGGCCTAGCTCTCCAGTTCGGCTGAGGCGGCAGCTTGTGAGCGACCGCAGGGGTCAGTGGGCCCGCTGTCCGGGCATGACCGCATGACCGGGGCCTTTCCGAGGAGTGAGGGCTCTCACCGACCCAAAGGGACATGCAGTACTAGGGTCTGGGGGTTTGGGGGAGCCAGGGCCTACAGATCAGGCCTGGGAGAGGTCGAACAGAAAGAGAAACGAAGTAGCCTCAAGTGGGGTCGCCGCTGCTCTCAGGGCAGGGTAAGGCCGGAAGGCTGGGCCTGGGGGCCGAGCAGCAGAAGGCAGAGGGCTTCCCCGCCCTGGCGATCTCGGGCTGCACCCACACCCTGCTCCCCACTCACCTTGGAGCTCCGCTGGGGCATTGTGGCTGTTCTGGTGCAGGTAGGGCTGGTCCAGGGAGTGCGTGGAGAGGCTGCCAGACAGGGGGTTGGCTGCGGGCGGACAGGGAGATAGAGGCTGCTGCTTGATATAAGAGGCGCCGCTGTTGAGGGCTGCGGAGGCGGAGGGCGGCCAGGCAGCGGCCGACCCGGAGTAGACGGCGTGCGGCTCCATAACCCCGCCGGCGGCGGCAGGCAGCAGCGGGGAGGCCGGCACGGAGCCGTCGTGGTGCGGGTACTCGCCAGCCGCAGCGCCGCCGCAGCTGCCCATGTACGAGTGGCCGCCGTTGGAGGGCAGGTGAGGCACGGAGTGGCTGGGCAGGGCCATGCCGTCCACGTTGCCCGGCAAGTGGCCGTTCATCATGCCCAGGCCGCCCTCCAGTGCCAGGCTGTTGGGTGGGCACGAGAGGCCGCCGGCCGAGCCCTGGAAGCTGTAGGTGTCCGGGAGGTGGTTGAAGCCCAGCCCGTTCATCATGCTGTACATGGGCTTGAGCGCCTGGCACTTCCTTCGGAACCCGCGCGGCCGCCGCCGGAACGAGCCCTCCTCGAACATGAACTCGCTGGCCGGGTCGATGGTCCAGTAGTGGCCCTTGCCGGGCCGCCCGAGCCCCTTGGGCAGCTTGATGAAGCACTCGTTGAGCGAGAGGTTGTGGCGCACCGAGTTCTTCCAGCCCTGGTAGGAGCCGCGGAAGAAGGGGAAGCGCGCCTGCAGGAACTGGTAGATCTCGCTGAGCGTCAGGCGCTTGGTGGGCGAGCTCTGGATGGCCATGACGATGAGCGCGATGTACGAGTAGGGCGGCTTCTCCGGGCGTCGGATGCCGGCGTTCGTCTTCTTGGCCTTGGACGGGCCGGACGACGCGGGGTCCATGGCCGCGCCGCCTCCCCCGCCGCCGCCGCCGAGCGGGGGCTGCTGCTTCTCGGGCGCCGAAGACATCGGGTGGCTGCTGCCGCCGCCGCCGCTGCTGCCGCTGCTCTGCGCCGCCGAGGAGCCGGGAGG